CCTATATGCATATAGTAAAAACTTACAAAATCTTCTTTGAAAGAACTCAAAAAGCTAGAGCTAAGATATTCAGCATGAAACATGTTCTAATGGGTGTCTACCAAGTTTGTTCAAATAAAAGCCCTGGGGTCAAAATTGGCCCCGCCCCAGGGGGTCATTGATTTTCCCTATATGCATATAGTAAAAACTTAAAAAATCTTCTTTTAAAGAACTCAAAGAGCTAGAGCTAAGATATTTAGCATCAAACATGTTCTAATAGGTGTCTACCAAGTTTGTTAAAATAAAAGCCCTTGGGTCAAAATTGGCCCTGCCCCGGGGGTCATTGATTTTCCTTATATTTGTATAGCAAAAACTTAAAAAAAATCTTCTTTGAAAAAACCCAAATAGCTAGAGTTTAGATATTAAGCATGAAACATCTTCTAGTGAGTGTCTACAAAGTTTGTTCAAATAAAAGCCCTGGGGTCAAAATTGACCCCGCCCCGGGGGTCATTGATTTTCCTTATATGTGTATAGCAAAAACTTAAAATCTTCTTTGAAAAAACCCAAATAGCTAGAGTTTAGATCTTAAGCATGGAACATCTTCTAGTAAGTGTCTACAAAGTTTGTTCAAATAAAAGCCCTTGGGTCAAAACTGGCCCCGCCCCAGGGGTGTCATTGTTTTTAACTTTATGTGTATAGTAAAAACTTAAAAAAATTTTTTTTTAAAAAGCCCAATGAGCTAGAGCTAAGATGTTTAACATGAAACATCTTCTTATGGGTGTGTGTGTGGGGGGGGGGGCTATATACAGGTGAGCGACCTCAGGGCCATCATGGCCCTCTTGTTACTTTCTGTAATATCATTCACAAGCACTTGTTAAAATTCATTATTACTGTATTACATTAAATTCTCTGCAAATGTACAAAGAATATCTAAACAAAATTGATCTAGATGAAAAAGTTCAAGTCATTGCATATATATATACATGAGGTTTAATATCAAAAACCTTAATACTGTGCATTTATAAACACAAAATATTATATTATGCAAGAATAGAAATAATTGCCCTTATTTTGGTCAAAGTTCCAATATTTTGAGCTTTTAGATGCAAAAGTCCTTTGAAGACATACTGACTATTTCAATAAGGTATAAATTATCAATAATTAAGCAAATTTATACATGTATGTAACTCTTACAAAACATAATTAAATTTTCTTGTAACAAAAAAATTCCAAATTTCATATTTAACCTTGATGTTAAAGGTCAATCAAAAGTCACATTTGAATCAATTGTCATATTGGAAGTGCTATTTTGTCCAAGTGTGAATCCCATCCATAAATAATGTGCAAAATGATGATGATTTAAACAAGTTATTTGAAATTTTCATTTACATTTATATTTAATTAAACCTTGGATAAATGTTTAGCTTCAGGATCATTTTAATTAAAAAATTCAATGAACCATTCATAAAAGTTAAATTATTATGCTACATGTAGTTTCTTCTTGATATCATATGTTTTTTTTTGTTAATTATCCTGTGCCATTTTTAGATTTCAAATTTGTTACAAATATAAAGTGAGATAATTACAGCCTAAAAATCAAGCAAGGAGAGTATTAGTTGTAATTCCACATTTCACTGGCATGCCAATGAGCAATTATACTTTAGGACAGTATCTAAATGATGTGTTGGCAGATTAAATTGTTCCCAGCAGAGTTTTCATATAAAACAATCTGCAGCTGATGTGTGGTCAGGTTTAAAACAATTCTGACAAGATGGGTTAAATTTATAGAAGCCTTTAACTTAATCAGCTGATCATTGACCAGTCATGTAGCACTACATGTTAGTTTATAACAGGCAGTTATACTCCACTGATTTAATTCAACCACAGTATAATGATATTAAAGGTTATAAGATGAGGCAATTCAAATTAACACATGAGGTTGAGACAATATAAAATGCACAATAATAACTTTTCTGTTCATTCCTTTCTCTCCATGACTGTAACTATATCCAGAGACTATGTCTCTGCTATATCACACATTTCTAAAAATAAAAAATGTCAGATGACTTTTCAGCCTTTATCTCCATCAAGACAGAAAGATGTAACGAAGATACATTTAAGGTTATTTAGTTCTGTTGCTAGTAGTAATACTAATGGTAAGATTTCATCTAGATCTATCTGTCTTCATTAAAAATATGGTTTTTCATTGCAAAAGTCAGCAGTCAATGATTTTTCTCTAATTGTCTAATGTGTCTGTTGGTCATAATGTATGTTTTAAGTCATACATAAAACAAGGTTTTAGATATATAAGCAACACTTTTTCAAAAGGTATTTAAAACCTTAAATTATATTAATAAACTGTACTATATGGACATAGATATAAAAAATTACAAAAAATTACCATCTTGTTTGAAAAATATTGACAATTGAAATACATGTGTAACTTTTCTTACTTTTGTATCTGTTTTTTTTTACAACAACAAGAAAGAATATGTTATTATTCGAAGAAAAGTGTTGGTAGTTTCATATTTTACTTGGTTAAAAAGTATTAATAAAGAATCATAGGTTTTTAATAACTACAAATAAATAAAAATGAAAAATGTCCTTGAAAAGATTTTTTTTGGTTTATTGAGACAGGTATTTGTTATTTTACATCAAATAAGAAGAGGTTGGAGTAAGAAAACCTGTTAGATTTTCAATTTGTCTTATAAAATAGGGGCATCAAAATATTATATAAATAATGATTACCTTGATACAAATCTAAACTTTTGTTAAAAATATAAAGTATGTTTACTATGCCGATTTCAAATTTATAATAATCATTTTAAGTTGTTACCCTATCCAATTTCACACAATTCACAGGATGCATTAAACTTAAATTTGGTCTTTATTTAGAAAAAAATCAAAATCTGGCCCTACAAAAAAAGACAAAATTAAAAAAAAAAAATTGCCTCTTCTGGGGTTTGAACCCACACCCTATCAGAACTCTATGTTCATATTCTACAGATAGGATTCTGCAGTTTTGTTAAGAAAGGACCAACTTTACTTGACCCCGTAATAAAGTATGCGTTCGAATACATACAGTATCACAGTAGTTTATTCATTCCTCTATTTGAAAAGAGACATAATAATTTCATAGATTTTAATGAATTAATTTTGTTAAAATATTTTAGTCAAGGATGAGCATAATATCTTTAAGCTATTTCAGTTTATTAAGTGGTAGTTACACAAAATATAGAAAATTGATTATGGAATTCTTATAATATTAAAGCATGATATGTACATTATACATATTTACTTTGTTATTGTGAATCCTTTGATTATATAATCAATGATTGATCGAAAAGGGTTGTTTCGATTATTTACGATGATCGATTATGATTTTTGTCCGATAAAGATAATATAATAAACAAGATCAACAAGGAAAGGTGGCGTTCATGATCCAGCAACAAGAGCCAATATAATTTTGGACCCCTAAAATTTAGGCCTGGACCCTAGTTTTCTAGGCTATGCATCCACTGGACACCTAAAATATCAAAGAGATGTAAAACCCTGGTTACCTTTGACTTTCCACAACTGTTTTCCATAAAGTACAAAAGCACCGAAACCGTTTTGTGAAGGCATCGAGTGGAGAGCTCTTGGAAAATGTCACTTCATACTCACCCCACTTACCATACCCTTTGGCAGTGACACAATATTCCTCATTATGTATCTCTGCCATTGGGCACAACTCATTGGTAAAAAATGCCCCCCATGAAAACCTCTTCCATACCACTTAGACAGCCGATATTTTCTATACCCATTGGACAAATATTACTTTATGACTGCTTGGACAACACATCCATAAAAAATGACCCCCTTGGACAGACAATATTTTCCTGACCCTTGGACAATCATTAATACATGCACCCCCTTGGACAACATATCAATGAAAAGTGACCCCCTTGGACAAATTGTCTGAAATACCCCCCTTGGACATCTCTTCCATACCCCTTGGACAGATATTTTCCATACCCCTTGGACAATCATTTATACACGTGCCTTCAACAACTTATTAGTAAAAATGACCCCCTTGGACAAATTGTCTAAAATACCCCCTTGGACATCTCTTCCATACCCCTTGGACAGATAATATTTCCCATAACCCTTGGACAAGCATTTATACATGCGCCTTCGACAACTTATCAGTAAAAAATGACCCCCTTGGACAAATTGTCTAATTTAATACCCCCCTTGGACATCTCTTCCATACCCCTTGGACAAATAATATTTTCCATACAACCTGTCTTTTTCAAAACAATACCCCCTTGGACAGTGTTATCTGAAATATGACCCCCTTGGACCTATTTTTTAAATACCCCCCCCCCTTGGACAAAAAAATACCTCTTCCATAGGGGGGGTGCGGATAATTTCTGGAATAGCCCATTGTTATACCTCTAGATTTAACTAAAGAACTAAAGGTTAGCCAAGTATTACCTCTTCCAATTCATCCTTAAGCTCATAAACATTAGCTACAAGTAGTCCTCCTTTGTTGCCACTATCCATATCTTCATAACAAAAAAGTTTTTTACATATACTCAATACAACATGTGAATTCTACATTGTTGACAGTTTTAATGATCTATTTTTAGTAACAACATCCGGTTACATTGCCGCCATCTTTTTTGTTATTCCAGAAGAAAAACTAATCTGATAACAATATCATGGGCTTTGAAGCAATAATCTTTAAATATGCCACAGAAAAAAGTAAAAGAACCAAGTAGACACTATCTCTGATAGCAAATTTAATCGCAATTATTTTAAATCAAGGAATTAATTGCGTGCAGTATTTGCTGTCTTGCTCTTGCCACAAATTGACATTAAATATGAAGATGTCGTAAAAATACTGACCAATTTTTTTCTAAATGGAAATATACAAATTTTGTATCAACTTAAAGCATCAAATTAAATGCTTAACAAGATATGGTACTAGGTCTGTTGAAATATAAAAATACCATTCCGCCGATTTTCAACTAGCTGTCTTTTACGACATTCACGTCTGCCCATGTGCTGATGCAACCGGCCTGTCAGACTTGGACTAAGTAAATAAATAGCTGGTTTGAGCGTAATACTTGCATCATTATTCATTAATTGTTGACAGTATCATGACTGAGGTATCAGACGAAGTACAAAAGATGAGCCTAGGTATGTAATAATTTTGTTAATTAAAAAAAACATCTGGTCAAAATCTTGACATTTTAATTTTTATTTTCTTTTGTTGACAGCTGTCTAGTCTACTGCAAGAGAATTCTGTGATGTATTTGACCATTTCTCTCATGCATACGTCGTCTGTATTATTTGACAGTTTTACAGCGTATATCCATTCAGTCATTTCTGATGTGAATGTGGACAAAAAATTTATTGGAAAGAAAAATATAACAAAATTGACATGATTTGAAGTATCTATCCTATCTCCTATCCTATCCATCTATGCGGGGATGTAGACATATCTGCGTGTCAAAATCATAGAAAGATCAAAAGAGTTGTTTAAAAAAAGCATAAAAGAATATTAAAAATGTTAAAAATAGGGGGCATAAAAATGTTAAAAACAGGGGACAAGCTAGAATACCAAATTTAGAGAAACATTTTTCCCTTGATGGGCAGAACACCAAACATCCTCCACATACTGCAAAATCATTGTTATTTGTGGGGCGCTAATTTTAGTGGATGTGTCAATCCAAGAACTTAGAAGTTACTCATTATTTACATTTTACCTTTTGCCTTTTGGAAAAATAAACAGTCCATGAATTTAAGTAGCCACAAGTAATTGAAGTATGTTCTTCATGAAAAAACTACCAAATAAGTCTGGAAGACTAACAATCTTAATCTAAAATCAATGTGATACTAATAGTTGCAGCATAAATTCTAAAAGTCTGTTCGTGGCAGAGTGGTTAAGGTCATTGACTTCAAACCACTAAGTCTTGCCCCTCACCGCTGTGGGTTCGGATCCTGACAGGGACTTTGGATTCATTCATGTGAGGAAGCTATCCAGCTAGATTACGGAACGTCAGTGGTTCTACTCAGGTGCCCATTCGTGCCTGAAATAATGCACGGAAGGGCACCTGAGGTCTTCCTCCACCAGTAAAGCTGGAACGTTGCGATATGACCTATACTGTGTCGATGTGACGTAAAACCCAAAACAAACAAATAAAAGTCTGTCATAGTCAAATTGAAATGTCCAAACATGACTTGTGTGGCCAGACGCCCTTTTCTAGGTCTGACCACTCGGGGAATTAGCTTTAAATCTTAACTTCACAATTGCTTTTGAAATTTATATAACAACAAACTTTAATGTCCACATTCAGTTTCTTTTATTCCATATGATTTGCTAAATCTTTTAAACCAGTCCACCTTATTATTAACTAACTATTATCTATTACAATATCAAATTAAATCCTTTTATTCACTTCTAATCTTTCTACTCAATTTATTTTCTTTTCTTATCCTAACCTTCTTAACCTAGACTTAAACCTAAACTGACCTCACTTTCCCCCCCAATCTGTATGTCCAAAATTCTATCCAAAACAAAGTATCTGCCCCCTTTTTGAATTTATCCAATCAAATAATATATTTCTTATCTTTAACCTGTCTATCATAATTAATAAAACATTATCACATGTGCATTTGATCATCTTCTAAGTTTTTACATCAAAGGATTTCACACCTAAGTGATATTGCTTTGAGAAGCTGAAGGAAGCAGACCAAAACTAATTTCAGTCTATCCCCCTCAGCTTTCCAAAGAACCAAAATATGTTATTAGATCACATATTAGCATATTATTAGGTTGATCATAAACATAAAACAAAATATTGCCTGGCTACATTATCTCGCCACCCAGCTAAGTTTGCTCCGTCAAACTTTATACATAAACATATAAACATATCAATGAACATTTAACAATAAGACAAGTAATAAACAAATTAAAATCACTACTTAGCAATTTACATATAAATATACAGATAAGGTGGACTGGAAAACTTCAATGTTTCAAAGTATATAAAACACTATTTAAAATGCAATACAATGTATATAATAATTATGCAATCAACACAGTTAACAGTGTAATTATAGGAAATAGTATGCTCTTTTTAAAGTCTTGATATTCTTAATTAACCAAAGGAAATCTTTATATAATTATGTTCATAATTTCCATATAAATTCATTTTTCTGATATAATGTCACCACAAAACTTCCATTTATTTCCATTTCATTTTAGTTCTTTTTGTCTGGTAAACACTTACTTTGATTGTTTAATTTTAGTCTTATTTCTTTTGCATGAAGATAATTGTATTTACAGTTAAACACACATATTTTTCACATTTTCACTTCAACACTGTCATTTCACTGTCATCTTTGTCATTGTAATCAATTAAAACACTTAAATCACTCAAATCATTTTTCAATCACATATTGCATAAACTTATGATGATTCAAACCATATTTTTCAATCATGTCATCGCAATAAACTTAATTCAATTAAACACCTGTAGCATTAAACATACAAACTTCTGTATTTACCCAAAAGCATTTTGTAAACTTAATTTATGACTGTAAGCTTGAAAGATGTGAAAAATAGCAAACTTAAAAAAATAAGTTTATACAAAAAATGTAACAATAACATCTTCTTTTTGCTTTACAATATAAAAATATACAATAATCATATAAATACTCAAGAAATTCTTGGGACTTGACTATTTTAAGCTTTGCACAGCTCAACTGTAACAAAGATTCATAATCTCACATTTTATCTCCCTTAAATGCCTTTTTGTCCATCATTATCCCCAAGTAAAATGAGACAAATTCTAATAGACTATGATAATACAGTCAGTTCATCAATTAGACTTACACATCTATTTTTCTCTAAATCACCTCAACTCTATACCTATGTATATAATATTATATTGGACATCAAAGTCACAATAACCTCCGAATTTGTATTCTAATATTAACAAGGGTATCACTTTTACGTATACCAATAAAGAACAAAGTTGAAAATAGTAAGAAAGGTTATATTCAGATTTACCATGCCAGTATAAATGTTGCCAACAAAAAATCTAAACATAAAAAAAATGTGCGCATATAGAATTTTGAATTTAGTTACACATGACATAGAAATTTATATGAGCCAGACTTAACCATTTAACACAATGCCTAAATGGAAATTGCAGTGAAAGGACATCACATTTTTATTCACCCCCAACAACAAGAATCTTAATAAAGTAACCAACAATACTCTCATAACTACTTTAAGCAGTTTCATAATTATATAAACTCCCTTCTTTTTTTTCTTTTTTTTTTTTTATATATATACTCGTACTATATTTTGCTATTTTTATATTTTTATTTTTTTACTACAATTATCTCTCTCATACCACTCTTAATTCTCACATACTGGGTCGCTTTCGCACCGTGCCTGAGAACGTGTACTTAATGTGAAAATTCTTTCTCACATCTTCTGGCAAATCTCCACTATAGCGCCACTCGGTTCGTGTTCTCCCAGTTTCATTACGGTATCTTACCAAATATACCAATCTACCTCTGTGATAACTTGCCTTAACAATTTTCTCCAAATCAAAGTTATCTAAATTTGAAACTTCAGGTATATCTTGATCATTAACTGATGAAGACAGGGGCTCTGTCTCATCCTTTCTTGGTCATCCATCTCCAGCTGTTGTATTCTGTCTGGTAACCCTGATGGATTAGTCGGTCTTAGAGCTGGATTGGTGTAGGGTCTCAACCTATTTGCATGTACAACACTTTTGACAGCTTGATGCGTGGCTAAATTTCGTAGACGAAAATTGACTTCACTTAACTTTTCAGAAATGTAGTATGGCCCAGTCCATTTTCTTATCAACTTTGGTGACTTCCCAGGTTCTGTCTTAGGGTTATACAGCCATACATTGTCTCGAACCATAAATTTAGGCGTTGCTGCTGTCTTATCATAATACCTTTTAAACTTTTGTTGAGCTTTTAGTGTATTTTCCTTCACCAGCTCCCGACATACTTTTTGATTTTCGATAATACGTCTCAAGTGTTGTTCATGAGTTGTTCCAGAAGTGACAGTTGGAATAAGTGCTGTATCAAGGGGAAGCCTGCATTCACGACCGAACATTATATAGAAAGGGGAGTAACCTGTAGAATCTATAGCAGGACTGACTCTATAGCTCATCATAATACTTGGAAGAAGTTGGGCCCAATTAGTCTGTTTATCATTACAGTAAACCCGCAACTTTTGCAATATGACAGAATTCATCCTTTCAGCAGTAGAATTGGTTGCTGGATGATAACTACTAGTGCTAATTTTACTAATTTGAAATATATTACAAAGTTCCTTCATTAACTTTGACATAAAATTTGACCCCCTGTCAGTCAAAATAGAATTCGGACAACCAAAGCGACAAATAATTTCATCATACACTTTCCAAGCTACAGTTTTTGCCTCCATGTCTTTCAAAGGGAATGCCTCACACCATTTACTGAATGAATCAACAATCAAAAGAACATATTTAAAACCATCAGCTGTTGTCGGCAATGGCCCTAGAATATCTAAATGCAATCTTGAAAATACTTCACCTATAGGCAATGGCTTTAAGTAAGCCTTATGTTGATGAACATACCTTTTTGACATTTGACAAGGCTCACAAGACTGACAATATTTTTAATGTCATTATAAATTGATGGCCAGAAAAATTTCATACGTATAGCTTCGTAGGTTTTTTCTCAATACCATAATGTCCTCCTGTCAAAGCATCGTGATACTGCTTAAGTAATACATCCCTGTATTTAAAAGGTACTGCTAGCTGTTTCTTGACATCCACCAATTTTTCGACCTCTTGCCCTTGGATGATACATGTGATAAAGGACACCATCTTCTATTTCATAGTGCTCTGCTTCTGCAACCAATCTTCTAGTAGCTGCCACATCCTCTGGAACTTTTTGTTGCTCCTTATACTCAAAACATAAGTCTGAAGTCTGGATCTTGTATTTGCTCTTGCCTCAACTGTGCAGCAGACAAATTGCAGACTTCTTGAATAAGATTGGCAGGATTTAAATTTTCATAGTCATCCATGGCATCTAACATCCCAGAAAGGGTATCTTTTTCTTTACTTGGGGTTACCATGTTGACCTTTGCTGTGACAACTTCTTGGTACTCTAGTTTATACTCCATGGTTGTTGACGTGCATTCTATGGAACAAACCTGAGGGTGGATATGAATGTTGTCGCTGTCCATGTCTTTGTCTTCTTTCACTTGCTCAACATCATATTCTCGGCGACTCAATCCATCAGCATTGGAGTGAAGCTTTCCTGCTTTATATTCTACCTCATAATTGTAACCTTGTAAGTATACAGCCCATCTACCAAGCTACCACTAGCCTTATTATTTTCAAAGATTTTAAACGCAATATGATCTGTTACAACAGTAAACTTGCGGTCAGTCAGATATGTATGATAATATCGAATACCCTCAACTAAAGCTAAGCCTTCCAAATCTGAAATACCCCAGTTTTTCTCAGCAGGACGAAGTGATCTCCCACCATACGATATGACATGTTCACGACCATGCTCATCCTTTTGACCCAATATATAAGAGATAGAAATACCACTAGCATCCGTGTAAAGAATGAACTCTTTTTCAAAATCAGGAAATACCAAAATAGGAGCTTCTGTTAGTTTTCCCTTTAGAGTGTCAAAAGCATTCTGGCACTGCTCAGTCCAGATAAATTTTGAATCTTTCCTCAAAAGATTATGCAAAGGCTTTGCAATACAGGAATACTTCTCAATAAAACGTCGATAATAATTTGCAAGACCACAAAAAGAGCGGACCTCAGTCTGATTGGTTGGTGTCTTAAAATCCCGAACTACCTTGACCTTATCTTTATCAACACAAATACCCTGTTTAGAGAAAATATGCCCAAGAAATTTTACCTCCTTAGCTGCAAAGAAACATTTACTTGGTTTAAGCCTCAAGGATGCCATTCTGAACCTATTAAAAACTTCAGACAAGTGTTCTAAATGTTCATCAAAATCTCGTGAGAAGAGTAAACAGTCATCAATATAAGTCAATGCATACATGTAATTTATACCTCGTAGAACCTCGTGCATTACTGAACTGAAAGCAGAACTACTGTTTATAAGCCCGAATGGTAAACGATTAAATTCCCAAACACCCTGATGTGTAACAAAACCTGTGCGATCCTTCGTGGCGGGGTCCAAACCAATTTGAAAAAAACCTTGAGCCATATCCAAAACACTAAAGATAGTAGGTTTCTTCTCCCCTACTGCATCAGTAACATCATCAATTTTAGGTATAGGAAAAGGTTCAAATTTAATAGATTTATTTGCAGCTCTGTAATCTACAGCAAAACGATATTCACCTGAAGATTTCTTAACAAGAACCACAGGACTCTGCCATTGTGTAGTAGAAGGACTTATAATACCATTTCTTTCCATATCTTCACACTGCTCCTCAATAACTTGCTTCTGTGCTGGCGACACCCTATAAGGCCTCTTTCTAACAGGAGGGGCATTCCCAGTGTCAATCTTATGAGGGAAAATCGTACAATGACCCAACTCGGCTGTATTAGTAGCAAACACATCTCTATTCTTACCAAGAAAAACAAGCAACTTGTATTTTTGTTCATCAGTCAAGTCAGAATTAGTAAGATCAATGCCTATGGACCTAGCAATCTCAATGTATTCACTGTCTGATTTCTCATTCATTTGCATTTTCTCACCAGTATGCAACTCATTCTCACAAATATCATCAACACTAATTCGTTCAAACTCTCGCTACTGGTTCATTTGGCCTTAAATACATCACTTCACTTGTTGGATTTAAGATTTGTATAAAAGTTCTATTACCCTGGACATTTGAGATTGACCTAGCCCCTATAACCTGAACTTTGCTTGGTAAAGTTCTTATAGGCTGAATAACAGATAAGCCATTTTGATTTTGCCCTTTCACTTTTACTTTTGCTATTATACAAGATCTAGCTGGCACTGAGATTTTATTGACAAGTCTTGCTAGACTGGACTTAGATGGAGCCCCAAACATTTTTACAGCTATCAAACCCTTCTGTATACTTAAAATGTTTTCACCAAAATCAACTGTAGCATTTTGCTCAGTAAGGAAATCTTTTCCTAGAATAACAGACTGATTTAACTTTTTAAAGACATAAAATGTTTGTACTAAAGTTAATCTGCATATAGATATAGGAACAACAACCTTGCCTATGATTTTCATAGATGAGCCATTGGCACATTGGGCACTTGGTAAATCTGAATGTAAAAGATCAAATTGCTTACTCAGACCACTTCTTTTATACATATCATAGGTTAAACAGCAAATTGATGAACCACTGTCTATCATACCAGAAGTAGAAAAATTTCCTAATCTTACATCAATTAAATTTTTCTCATCTCCAATTTTATATGTTTTCCCTATAGATATATTCTTATCCTTTTTCTTCTTACCCATGTTTTGCCCATCCCCCAATTTTTGTGAGACGGGCTCGCACCCCTAACTCTTAAAACATTGACTTTTAACATGACCCATCTTATTGCAGGTAAAGCAACGTTTTATTGCGATAACAAGAAAAAGAAACATGGCCAAACCTTCCACATGTGTGACACTTTAGTCCATCTTTTCCTTGCTGACGCCCTCTGTATGGTCCTGGTCTTTGTTGCCTGGCTCTGAAATTTTCCTCCCTGCTCCTTGGATTGTACATCACGGTATGTTGTTTGTCACGATAATCCTTTGGAATGGATACTTCACTTAATGTTTCAACATCAGATGCATGTAAAGTGTCCAGTTTCTTCGCAAATTCGATCAGCTCATTGATACTGGTTATATCTCGAATAATTATTTGTTGTTTAAGTTTATTGTCCAAACCAAATATAACTCTGTCAATAATTTCATCCTCCGTTTTTTTAAGTAACCTCCCTAACGTCTCCACCTCTTCTATTTATACAGATACATCTCTGCCATCTTGTTTTTATTTTCATAAATTTTGCATACAAGTTAACTCTGTCAGTCTTATGGGAAAACCTGCTTTTAAAAGATTGTTTTAAAAGTTCAAACGATTCTTTCGTTTCTCTATTTAAATTTAGATACCAAGCTTCAGCACTTTGGTTAAGAGTTAAACAAAACTGAACGCACTTTTCTTCGTTGCTCCAATTATTTAATTGTCCGATTTTCTCGAATTTCTCCAAAAAAAAGTCTACATTATCATTTTGTTCAAATTTTGGTGTTGCTATCAATTGTTTATTTCTTGACATTATAATTTAATAAAAGTTCTAAGAATACTTCCGGATTCTCACACCATTATGTGGCCAGACGCCCTTTCCTAGGTCTGACCACTCGGGGAATTAGCTTTAAATCTTAACTTCACAATTGCTTTTGAAATTTATATAACAACAAACTTTAATGTCCACATTCAGTTTCTTTTATTCCATATGATTTGCTAAATCTTTTAAACCAGTCCACCTTATTATTAACTAACTATTATCTATTACAATATCAAATTAAATCCTTTTATTCACTTCTAATCTTTCTACTCAATTTATTTTCTTTTCTTATCCTAACCTTCTTAACCTAGACTTAAACCTAAACTGACCTCACTTTCCCCCCCAATCTGTATGTCCAAAATTCTATCCAAAACAAAGTATCTGCCCCCTTTTTGAATTTATCCAATCAAATAATATATTTCTTATCTTTAACCTGTCTATCATAATTAATAAAACATTATCACATGTGCATTTGATCATCTTCTAAGTTTTTACATCAAAGGATTTCACACCTAAGTGATATTGCTTTGAGAAGCTGAAGGAAGCAGACCAAAACTAATTTCAGTCTATCCCCCTCAGCTTTCCAAAGAACCAAAATATGTTATTAGATCACATATTAGCATATTATTAGGTTGATCATAAACATAAAACAAAATATTGCCTGGCTACACTTGCAGAATTTTTTTTTTTTTTTGACCCTGATTTTGATCATTAAATTTTAGTGAACATTTTAGGACCCAGCATCCAAATGCTGATTTACTGTTTTACAATATATCTGGAAAATATTCCTCAACTATGAATGAGGAAGGTCAGGGTTATTTCCCAGGATTTTGGGAACATGACCCATACCCATGGAATTTGGAACTTCAGCGATGTTTTGTTAAAAATTGGCGAAAAAAATGCATGAAATAAATTTTGCAAAGATTAAATGAATGCAAAGAATGTCTAGGATGGTATCTTCAAACATTTCAGCACCATAACAGTGAAGAGGCCCTTATTTTCAAAATTTTTAGAATTGTTATTCAATATTTTTATTTTGTAACTTCCAATTGGGAATTTTTTCCTGTGGATAGGGAAAATAATATACTTTTTTCTATTGGAAATATGACCAAATATCGGCTATAAAATAAGCCAAAAATAATCCTTGTAGGTGGTGGGAAATTGTTTCATAAATACATAAAATTTTACACTAGATAAAGTAATACATGTATATTGTGCAATATACAAGTTTACAACATGAAAAACAATCTGTTTCCTATTTAAAGACTCTAGGGCAAAAAAAACGGGCGATCAATTCCCCTATACTGAAAGAAAGATAACTGTGATTCTCAGAATTGAATGCATATTTAAACTTAGTTGATATTATAGCTCAAGGGAAGAACATTTTGAATTTGTTGAATATTTAAATTTTTGTTTGCACCTCTTGAATTTCTTAATAAACATTCTTTTCCCCAATACAGGTGAAATATACACGTCCGACAGCACTGGATCAGATGAAACTGGTGATGGGACAGCAGAAAAGCCTTTCAAATCTGTCCTTCAGGTAATTCTTACATGTACTTTCTTAAGTAATTCTAAGACAGGCCATGTGCACACATCTTAGTTCAGTTTTGATTACTTGTAAATCTTATATTTGTAGCTGCCATAATTATTGTTCTCCTGGGTTTGTAATTTTTGATGTTGACATCTTGCAAACTGACGTAGCTATTTTTATCGCATAAACTAAGACACAGGAACATAACAAAGCCATGTAATAATAACACTATCATAACACTTTGACATGATGTCATTTTCGTTATAGCACACTAATGTTATTGTTAGTGTCGCACTAGCGGGGCATCAATGAAAAATGGCTCTTTTCAACTGTAAACCATTCTTATTTTTGACATGTGATAAATAAAATATATTTCTGCAGTTTCAATACTAAATTTATTGAACTTGTTCAATCAAACAATATTATGCTAGCAAAGGCTACCAAATTGATTTTATTCAATAAATTTAGTATTAAACCTACACTAATTCAAATCTGCTATGTTTTTAGTCTAACATGGATCGTATACCTGTATCCAGCTCATTTTGAATATACTTACGTTGGCCTTGCACTAAATAATCAGCCTAGGCAAGTTCTGATAGTCAATAGGAGTCACATGTTACCTAAATATTCCTCAAGATTTTCTAGTACACCTCAACATTTGTTCTATTATTGCAGGCAATGAAGCATGCAGGGAAAGAGCCGTTTCCAACCATATATGTTGATGGGAAAGAAGAAGGCAAGGTGGGTTTAATTTGAAGCTTTCATTTGTTTTTCATTGGTTTAAACCATAACCTGCCAACACCAAGAGTAATTGCCCTTTGCAACCAGTATAGAGCGAGATTAACCTGCTTCTAATTTTTCAGTCTGACCAGGCTCTATAATGTTATGTTGGTAGCTCAAATTTTGTACTTTGATATTCAAATTTCTTAGTTTTAAATGAACTATTCCAAATTATAAGCAGGGCAAGTCAATTTTAAAAATACAACAGCCTATGGGTTAATTGGGGTTAAAAGCATTAAAACACTTTTCAATTTGAAAAATGGATTGATCTAAAAAATTGCAAGCAAGTCATTGGGTCAGAACTACATCATTATAATTTCATATGGTACACTAATCTTGAAAAAAAAGTATTTCAAATCTTGTTGTATCCAATAAACCTTGGTGGACTTATTTGAAAAAAAAAACTTTTTGTGTTTACATGTTTTAAATAGATAAGTAAAATTTCAAGATTTTATCTGACATGTTTCATATATAATTTTCTGTAAATGTTACTGTTCCAGAAGTTTGAAGTGGCAGCTAAGGCACAGTTGAAAAAATGTCAGAAAATCTGGCAGAGAGACGCAAACAAGGCTGCAGACCGAGCTAAGAAAGATGTGAGAATAGATTCCTTTATTTTAATGTATCTACAATGTCCATGATCTTTTACCTCAATCATAACTGGGCAAGTTGAGAGTAGTTTATTGTTGAGGACAAATATCATTTTTATATAATTTTCATCCTCAACCAAATTATGTAGGAGGTTCTGCTCAGGTACCCACCTGCACCTGATTTATCCTTTCAAGAGTTTGGCCTGTGGAGAACTTGAGGGGTTATATGTTGGAAAACGGGTATGGTAGTTACAGGTACACATACTTGCTTACTGCCCACCCCTATATAAATGAAATACAGCTAAAGGGCAAATAAATAGATGTATAACATTATAGTGCTAACAAAATTATTCATCTAAATCTAGGCTGAAGACGCAGAGCGTAGAGAGAAAAATCTGGAGGAAGCGAAAAAGATAGTTATAACACAGGATGCCAGCTTACCCAAACCTACAGAGGTATGTTATATTCTTCTTTCTTATTTTACATTCTAAAGAGTAAAACCAACTTATATTCTAAAGAGTTGTTTGTTCTTATTTTATATTCTAAAGGGTAATCCTCACTTATTTCTATTTTCTGAAGGGGCGTCCATGGCCGAGTGGTTAAGGTTGTTGACTACAAACCACTTGCCCCTCACCGCTGTGGGTTCGGATCCAGACAGGGACTTTGGATTCTTTCATGTGAGGAAGCTATCCAGCTAGCTTACAGAGCGTCGGTGGTTCTTCTCAGGTGCCTGTTAGTGCCTGAAATAATGCACAGTAGGTCTTCCTCCACCAGTAAAGCTGGAACCTTGCCATTTGACCTATACTGTGTCGGTGTTGCGTAAAATCCAATCAAACAAACAAACAAATTCTATATATCCACTTATATTGTGAAGAATTATTATATACACTGAACAAAGAAAGAGAAACTATTATTTAAAAAAAAATCAAAATATCAAATGATCTACAGTGAGTAATTTACTCTCATTTTATACACTTTAAAAGAGTAATTTCTATCTAATTTTATATCTATGAATATTTATGGTTTTAGATTAAGATTCGGGACTCAACAGCCAATAGGAACACTCGTGTAAAGATTTATGGGTGGGTACATAGATTAAGGAGGCAAGGAAAGAATCTCATGTTTATTGTGTTAAGAGATGGTACAGGATTTCTACAGTGTGTGTTTACAAACACTTTGGTAAGTTTGCTAATATTGTATGTCATATGTTTTTGATAAAAAAACAAAAAAAACCCCAAAAACAAAAACAAAACGTCAATTTTTTCATGTGGAAAGCCCCCCAAAAGAAGCATTCCTTTTTAGTGAACTTATTATATTTGATTTTGATGAACTTTGTTAGCTTTCACACAGGCTCAACATTATGGCAAAATTTATTTAAATGGCTTTTAAACCAGAAAATTTAATTGACATGCCTATCTAAGTGTAAATGGTGGGTGTACTGGAGAAAGTCAAAATAACTACATTTTGCCATAGTTGTTTTCAATTTTATATCCTGTTTGGCATTTATTTTTTTTGTTCAAAACATTTGTAATTATCAATGATTGGTCACTCAACATTAAAGTGGTAAATATTGAAATAAATTGGTCACTTGCATTAAAATGGTCAATATTGAAATATAAAGCTAATTCATTTCAACTTGACAACAAAATTGACCCTAATGTCACTTAAAGGTTAGTATTTTAAACTTAAGTTAGAGCCCTTTATGAAGCAATGTATTACTGACTGTTACTGACACTTCCTAATCAAGTATGTTATATTTCATTTTCTTCTCTGTTACTTGGTAATGGTTAATTGTATAGATATGAAATTATTCTTTGTTACATGGATTTAAGTCAGAATTACAACAATCTTTCCATATAGCCTTCCATTATAAATAGGAAAATTATGCATATCTTGCCATGCACTACTAGAGTGTTATTTGTGTATGAATAATTAATTAATTAATTAATTATGACTAACTATACCAACTGGTAATTATGCATGACTATGACAAGTGAAAGCAATTTTAGTGCATGGATAATGATTGTTATGTTTTAGTAAGTAAGACGAAAATAAATAAGTTTTTGTGGGGAAATAGATTGTGTATAACGTTACTGCTTCCTCTACCAGTAAAGCTGGCGTGTCGCCATATGACCTATACTGTGTTGGTTATACGTAGAATCCAATTAAACATAATCATAACAGTACTGTAACAATTCTCAAAAGAAGCGTGCAACAAAATTTTATGAAGATTTATAAATTGTGCCATGAATTAAGTAGTTATAGGTTGTGTAAGACAATTTAAGTCTAGGTAAATTACCTAATATTTGTGTAAAAATATGAAAAATTAATTTTTGTTCCTTAGAAGAATTAACCCTTTTGCTGTTTTACTGATTTAAAAAAATAAAAACCAAATTGTATTGATCATAATGTTTTTTTTTGTTTTTTTCATGAATTGAAAAATAAGCCTCCATCTTATATAGAATATTACTATTAATATGGCGATAAAATAAGTAAATTCAGTCAAATTTTGCTGATATATTTTTCAGTATAAATCATTATACAGATTATACATATTGTGAACATTAAAACTCTTGAAACATTTTCTGAAGTTGAAAATTTCTAAACCTTGTTTGCTCATCTGGAGGTTGGCAGCTGACACCCAGTACAATTCAGGATTCATTAGTCGTAGAATTAAGCAGTGAAATTTACAAGCAAGTCAGTCCTAATATCTAAGCAATTTTCAATGCTAAGAGTGGAATTTTCATCATCCCTGGAGAAAATTTTCTCGACTTGCTGTAGGACTCACCATTGTTTCACGAAATTGATAATTTCTTCTTTTTATAACAGTGCCACACGTATGAAGCGCTGACGCTGGCAACAGAAGCTGCCATCTGTATATATGGAGAGATAAAAGAGCTGCCAGAGGGAAAAACTGTGAGTACAAGTATAAACTGATTCTGTGTCTGTATTTGATGGATATTTCAGGAAAGGTTATTTGTTTATAATATAGTTTAGATTAAATGTTCATAATCAAGTTTAGATTAAATGGAGGCAGCCAAAAAAAAGTAAATTCATATTTTTACCGAGATGTCTATGATTATTCAAAATTCAAATTTTTTTCTATTTGTTCAGTGTCGTTTTTGAGAGAGCTGATTATATGTCTAGCATGTTTCCCATATATTGGCACCAATACATTCTGAAAAGGGCGCTGTTATATTCCTATTCTTGAAACTGAAAGAGCTCATTTTTTTCTGTAAGAGCATAATGTTTAGTAAATCTTCTATAAGAAGATTGTATAAGAAAAAATATGACAGAAACGATCTTAAAAACAGATATATTACTTGGAGCTTAGGCAAATATGGCAAAATCGTATTACCCCATCCTCCAAATAATACTTGGAGCTTAGGACAATATGACTAAATCTTATTCACCCCCCCCCCTCCTTCCCCATGTTCATAGTTCTCTGACATTTTTATATTGAAAAGTTACTTTACAGTCTGTCTTGTGTTTTATAGGCACCTGGTAACCACGAAATGACGGCTGATTTCTGGGAACTGATCGGCGATTCTCCAGCAGGAGGGGCAGATAACTTGCTCAACGAAGAGGCACACGTCGATGTACAGCTGGATAACAGACATATGATGATCCGTGGAGAAAACGTAAATATATATATACTGTGAATTCACCTAATTTGGTGGACATGAAATTTCGTGGTTTTTGTCTTAAAGGACATTTTCATTCGTACTTTAATTTGTGAACTGTTTATTTTTCCAAAACGTAAAATGTAAATAATGAGATGCAAAATAATCTTACAGCAGATGAAATAAATTTCGTTGGATCTTAAATTCATAGATTGACTTATCCATGAAAACCACGAAAACTAGTGCCTGACAAATAACAAGTTTACGCAATTATTCCCCACCCCCCTCCCCCTAAGAAAGAAGACATCCAATTTGCCATGGTTTGCATTCACATGCAAAGTTTTAAAGGATTTCAATATCAAAATACAAAAAAAAGTTTTAGTGTATGTCGACCATGTGTAGAGCCTGGTCAGACTGCACGGATATACAAGCTTGGCTTTTATCTGGTGACAAAGGCTAAACACTTTCTGCTCAAGTAGGTTAAATGTGCTAAAGTTTCATCAATAGATTCTTAGCCCTATACTTAGTGTAAAGACTGGACTTGTCCAGCCTTTGTATTTGGAATATTCCATTATAAAGGGGTTTTCTGGTAAAACATTGAAAGTTTTATACTTATCAGCCAGTGTTAACATACATGCTCTTGTATTTTCAGACATCTAAAGTATTAAAGATGCGATCTGTTGTGATGCATTGTTTCCGCGAACATTACTTTGATCGAGGGTATTTTGAAGTTACCCCACCCACTCTAGTACAGACACAAGTAGAGGGCGGAGCTACGTTATTTAAACTCAACTATTTCAGTGAAGAGGTATGTACAAGTGAATAGACGCAAATTATCCACTTACTGCAAAATGGTTATTTTTTAAATAAAGTTACATCTTGATCCAAACTTAGAAACAAAGACTTTATTACCTGTTTGGCATAATGGCTCTTTTCAGTGGATATATCAATTAAAATTGCCTAGTGTATAGTTAAATTGCAAATTTCTCGAATTTTCCTTGAATTCATTCAACTTCAAATAATAAATGAATTTTCTAAACTTACAATATTTTTAGCATTTTAGAAAGCAGTTACTATTCTATTTTGCATATTTTGTTTACATTAACCCATTTGCTACTAGGACTTAACCAGATAACTGAGTAATTATTTACAGGAAATACTATAAAAGATTGATTTTTCGTATTCTCTCCATGAATATAAGATATATAAAATCTAAGCTACTCCTATATGAAAATGTTGAGATTATAAAGGTTTTTATAATAACCTTATACCAAAAATGTGATAAAAAATCTATAAAAATTAATAAAAGTAAATTGATGAGTATATTCGTCTTGTTGGCAAACAGATAATTATTGATACTGTGTGACAGTACCTCTTTTTCTTACTAAAATCATTTCTAGGAATCCCAGCCACCTTGGCTGTCTACAGTTACAATTTGGTGAATTTGTAATTTATCTTATATGCATCAAAAAGTAAATCAAAACTCACTGGTGTGTATTTTGTAGGCATATCTGACCCAGTCATCACAGTTGTATCTCGAGACGTGTCTACCGTCTATGGGAGACGTTTTTTGTATAGCTAGCTCGTACAGAGCTGAACAGTCTCGTACCAGACGACATTTAGCAGAGTAAGTGACATTGACAGATCAGATATTATTGTGATGTAATAAATCACCTGTTTCGTTATGCCTGCATAGCTGTGTAGGGATTTGATCAGATTTGTTACATAGCGCTGGCTTGATCCAAGGGCAAGTTGAAATTTCTCTGTGACAGTTGATTATGGTTCATTTGTCTTCTCACTGTTAATTCAGAAATCATGTGGGATTAGTCATCAGTCACTTTCAGAGAAATCAAAAATTACTGGTTAGTTTTCCAGGAAAACCGGTTAAGTTTTAGTGATTGGTTTGCCCTGCTTTGAATATGAAATGGTTCATTTAAAGTTTAATTGTGTAGACTAAACCTGGGTCTATACTTGTGGCAAAGGTCAGTCATTGCTCGGTACTGGTCAGTTTCAAAACCGGATTTGAAAGTGTGTCTATAAGCATTTTTACTTCCAAATAAATTTTAACTAAATTTATATATGGTATAAATTAAAGGCCAGTCACTTTCAGTTCCAGTAGATTAATGGCTGTATTGATTATTTCAGGTATACTCATATAGAAGGAGAGTGTGCATTTATAACATTTGATGATTTGCTGAACCGTTTAGAAGACCTGGTGTGTGATGTTGTCGATAGAATACTGAAGTCACCTTACGGTCATATAGTCAAAGAACTTAACCCGGTAAGTGAATAGTCAGCATTAATACAAGCAATCTGAATTTCTACACAACCAATTATACAAGTAACCTGTGTTAATATGAACTCAGTATATTTTTGAGTGAAGCAAATTTTAAGTTTTTTTTATGGAACTTTCTATTGTCAGTATGTATGTAAGTTCTGTTATCCTTGTCCAATCAATAACTCATCATAACTTGAGATAGAATAAGCCTATGGCATCTAGGTTATGCCTATTGATTTTGAGGTCATAAGGTCAAAGGTTAAGGTGACAATGACAATGTCAAATTTGTCAAATAACAATGACATTGTTCTGGCCAGTAGATGACCCTTTATGATATAAAGGTTATTTAATCAAAGGTCAAGGTCCTAGTGATGTAAATTTGATCAATAACTTGAGGAGTAATAAGCCAAAGATTTACTAACTGACTAAGTAAAGACATTGGGCGTCCGTGGTCGAGTGGTTAAGGTTATTGACTTCAAATCACTTGCCCCTCACCGCTGTGGGTTCGAATCCCGACAGGGACTTTGGATTCTTTCATGTGAGGAAGCTATCCAGCTAGCTTACGGAATGTCAGGGGTTCTACTCAGGTGCCCGTTCGTGCCTGAAATAATGCATGGAAGGGCACCTGAGGTCTTCCTCCACCAGTAAAGCTGGATTGCGCCAAAGGACCTATACTGTGTCGGTGTGAAGTAAAAACCCAATCAAACAAACAAGTTAAAGACATTGTTTATGGCAAGTATATGATGGTTTATGATTTCAGGGCCAAAGGTTAAGGTCACAGTGGCACTTGAATGTAAATATTATCAGTAACTTGAGAAAGAGTAAGCTTTACTGAAAAATAAATCTTTACAACAGTTTGTATAATCTAAAGACTATGAGCATGAAACTTCATAGTTTAAATTGACCTCACAAGCTTAAATGTAGAGTTCAAATCCCTCTTGCACATTATTGAAGTCTTAACTTTGTTATTGCAGGACTTTAAACCTCCAAAGAGACCATTCAGAAGAATGGCGTATACAGATGCCCTAGTCTACTTAAAAGAAAACAACATCACAAAAGATGATGGTAGCTTTTATGAATTTGGAGATGTAAGTATATTATACATAATAACCAATTTAAAATAGTTAAAGTTCTGATAAGCAAATTAAAGTTCTAAAATTAAAGGGCAAGATAACCATAAATTTTATTTTCCTCAATCAAATATATTTATCACATTCTAAGAAAATGGAAAGTTAAGAATTAATTCTATGATACAGTTTTATGTTTTCATTCTTCGCTATGTCTGTATGTTACTATAACATGCATCCATTCATATGCGAGTTACTCAACACTGAAACTTTTTGTTTGAACAACTGAAAAATGTGACCATATCATTATGGGTATAGGAATAAGTTGATTGTGCAGTTTTAAAACTTTTATATAATGTGTTGCCACGGGGCAGTTACAATCCTGGGACCCCCTCACTCACAAGCAAAAAGGGAATTGTGGGGACTTTGTGCTCCGTATGTTTTTCAACTCGGAATGTGGAACTAAATATTTCAGTACTGCATTTTACACATATACCCTGGTAAACTTTGACATCAGCTCTTGCAGGACTAAATGGAATGTAAAATCTTGGCTCTTGTGTCCGGTTTTGCACTACCCTGAACATATGGTCGGGGATGTTACAATGGAATGGTGCAGTATATCATTACAATCTTATTATATTATTAGTTATAAAGATTTTTGACAAGTTATATGTCCCTATATAAACTGTTGTTGTATATATGACCCGAGCCATAAGGCAAGGGTTATATTGCAAAGAACGGTTTATATACGGCCATATAACCTGTCAAGAATCTTTATTACGAATTCATAATGCACCATTAAAAACACTGTCTTATGTGTCTCTCAATCAAAGGGAGACAACTAAAAAAAGACACATAAAATAAAAAAATAACCTGTCAAGAATCTTTATTACGAATTCATAATACTGCAAACTTCCGTGATTGGAGAAAAAAAATGAATGTTTTTTTTTTTCATGAATTGACTGCAGCTGTATTAATAAATTATATAATTTAAAAGGTGACGATTATCTAATGAAAAGCAACGTTACAAACTTGCAGTATTATATGTTTTTATTGTTGATCAGGACATACCAGAGGCACCTGAGAGGAAGATGACAGATATGATTAATGAACCAATCTTACTGTGTAAGTTCCCCGCAGAAATCAAGTCTTTCTACATGCCAAGATGTAAAGATGACAGGCGACTTACAGAATCGGTAAAATAAGTATTATTATTATCTCCCTTGAATACTATCTTTGTTTTTGAATTTTATTTTGCTTTCTATGTTTAAGGATTATTTTCAATATTTTAGGTTGATATCCTTTATTTAAAATTGATTATCTTTATTTTTGGTTGATACTTCTATACTTTAGGCTGATTTTCAATACTTGAGGCTGATTTTCTGTACATTGGGCTGATTTCTTTTCTTTAAGCTGATTTTCAGTACTTTAGGCCGATTTTCTATATTTTAGGTTGATTTATTGATGCCAAATGTAGGGGAGATAGTTGGAGGATCTATGAGGATATGGCAATATGATGAGTTGATGGAGGGCTTTAAACGTGAGGGAATAGATACCACAAACTACTACTGGTACACTGACCAGGTCTGTGATGTTTTATTTATGACATCATAAACCACTTTATTTCCAATTAAAACTTTTTTATTTATTAGTCTGCAATGTAAGCAGTTAATTATATAGTTTAATTGAACTTGTGAAAAGTCATATTTCACTAATTATCCCCCGCCGATGGAATCGGGAGGGGGATATAGTTTTGACGTTGTCGTCCGTCCTTCCGTCCATCCGTCCGTCCGAATTTCGTTTCCGGGGTAGTTCTCTGCAACTACTGGCTGGAATTCAACGAAACTTTATGGGAATCATCAATATCAAGAGGAGATGCGCATATCATAGGCTTGTTCCGGTCCGACCCTTTAACTCAGAGTTATGGCCCTTGATTAGTTATGTAGTATGCATATAGAGTAAAAATCGTTTCCGCACTACTTTTCTGCAACTACTGGCTGGAATTCAACGAAACTTTATGGGAATCATCAATACTAAGAGGAGATGCGCATATCGTCGGCTTGTTTGGGTCAGACACTTTAACTCAGAGTTATGGCCCTTAATTAGTTATGCAGTATGCATATGGAGTAAAAATCGTTTCCGCGCTACTTCTCTGCAACTACTGGCTGGAATTCAACGAAACTTTATGGGAACCTTCAATACCAAGAGGAGATACGCATATCGTCGGCTTGTTCCGGTCAGACACTTTAACTCAGAGTTATGGCCCTTGATTAGTTATGCAGTATCCATATAGAAAAATATTTGTTTCCTCGCTACTTCTCTGCTACTACTGGCTGGAATTCAATGAAACTTTATGGGATACCAAGAGGAGATGTCCATATAGTCGCCTTGTTCCAGTCAGATACTTATAACTCAGATTTAAGGCCCTTGATTAGTTACGTAGTAAGCATACATCTCATTGGCATTTCCAGATTTTACTATTTAACACAAAGTTATGGCTCTGTTATTGCCCTGAATATTTTAAGTTCAAAGAATAGTACTGTTTATGCCATGATTAATATATAAATAAAGCCTTATGTCTTCAGTTGTTGTGTTAATAATAACCAGTACTCGGCGGGGGATATAAATTCAACGAATTTGCTTGTTTAAAAACAGTTCCATTTGACTGTTGATGTAGAAGAATTACTAGCATGGTAAACTTATTTGCAAATGATACTCGCTGATTGGTTTTTGATATTAACAATTTTATTTATACAATATCTCTTTATCCACTTTACTGCTTTGTTAAACTGTACAAGGAGAAAAGAAAACATGTGTCAAACATCATGCTGTCGCTAAAGCTCACCCACTGAGTACTGAGCAAGAAAATTTAAAGGCACGTTTAGGCCAGACTTTTCATAGAATTGTGCTATTATAAAAACAACATGTCTCTAAGGGTAATAGTACCTCGGGAGTTATTTCAGTTCAAGGGTTGCTTATATGCACTATTACCCTGAGAGATGTGTTAATTTTTTTTTTATCGTACGGAACCGACATTTTAATGTAATTTTTCCACTATGCATTATTACTCAGCATTGATTCTTATCAGGGGAGAGAACTAGAACATAACGTTTTCTAAAGTCTATATAGATTACTTGCCCCTACAGAATATTGCAAAAAATATTGACTGGGTGATATTCGTTTCGTGGACGATAGATCAAAATAACACCATGTGACATCACATAAGGCTATATTGTAAAATTAAAGTATAGTATAATAATTGTGTTGTTATAACAATATATTTGAATATATAATTCTGTTTGACAGAGAAAGTATGGCAGCTGTCCACATGGAGGTTACGGTCTCGGACTGGAGAGATTTATATGCTGGATACTAAACCGATACCATATTCGCGAGGTGTGTCTGTATCCACGATTCGTTGAAAGATGTAGGCCTTAAACAAGTCGGGTACCAGTCAACCAGACCAAGGGGAACCTATATTGTACAGATATATTTAAGAAATAGTGCTGAATGGAACAAAAATCTTGTGACTGTAGCCTTGGACATCTTTATCGTAATGAAGAAGTCTTTTAAATTGCCAACGTTAAACATTTCTAATTAAATGTGTGCAATTGAGCTATTTTAGTCTCGTATTTAAATTCAAATTGTATATGAATTATCGAAAAATGTATCGCAAGAACTGAGTGATGATAAACTCAAGTTACTTGACCTTTGACGTAGCAAGAAAAAAACATTTTTCTCCTTTTTTTTCAAATAATTTTTTTTCTAGAATTAATAATAAATGATTAAATGTTACCAGAAGATCTAGCAAATATATTTTTTTTCAAGCAGAAGTTCAGTCTACATGTATATATGAGCAAGATCAGTACTGGTTCCCGGTATTATAGTGGTGTAGGGGAAACAGCTTATTGTCTTTTCTTGTCGGGTTTATTTGTTTTTTGATGATTCAATGTCTGCTTCCAGGGAGAATCTATCATAATCAAGTCTTTATTTATTTTTGTTATACAACATTTTCTTTATCATTTCCCTACACAAAGTGCTAGATGTTGTTTCTTCATGTTTCATCATACAAATATGTATGTAATTAAAACTTGCACAACAGTAAGAAAAAATGGCATTTCCATTTAGTTAAAAAAATAATGAGAAACTATTGAGCTACAGTCTGTTTTTTTCATTCACTTTAGTGTACTTGGTGCTTATTTAGATTATGTAGGAAGTTTCCCATTTAAGATTAAATATTACGTTATTAATTATAATAATCTTATGATTTTTTTTAACCCAGTATTTTGAGAGTTTAGAGCGAAATTGGTCTATCTGCTTCTATTTCTATATAAAGATGGACCAGTTTTGCTGTACGCCCTTGATTTAATAAATATGATATCTATATAATGTATTTATAATATTTCTTGCACAGGTCATGTTTAGGACTTTGTAGTTTTTCAAGCAAGGCAAGTAAATCGATAACTTAACATAAAGAATAGACTGTTACTCTGATCCAACTTTCTTTGTTATATATACCATTTTATTAATATTTCAATAAAGATCCATGACAAAACATTTAGGTTTTAATTCTTTAAATAAATCACAAAATTCCAAAAGACGTGACCAGAATGACAAAAATGTCATGTAACATGATATTCCTTACTGTAAAGTTGACACTTAACCCTAAAACATTGTAAAATTAGGAAAAAGATACAGTGTATCAGTTTTGAGTACACTGTTGTAGAATAATGCTTTGAGTTCAAATGTGTAGTAATATAATCACGAAGGCCGAATAATTATACTATAATGCACGAACAATTAAATATCTATTTCCATTCTAACATTCTAAAATGTTGAACTACATTGAGCATAAAAGTTGTTTGCATGACATCATTTGATTTAATGATGTCATATATGACGTCATATGGCATGTTTGCATTCCTTTTTATATACTGTGCATATATCGTGTAATAATGCACAAGTTTGTCCTTTCTGTTTGATAGGGGAATGATGTGAAACTTGTTAGAATGAACTTTTAATACTTTGAATTTAGTTCTGTCAGTGAGCAATTATAACATAATCACAATTAAAATTTGAAAGTTACTCTGTTGTTCATTTTAGTTTTAGCATTCTAAGATTAGATGTTGTTAAAGATTTTAAATCTTATGTCTTTTTTATTAACATTTATTAAGTGTTTTATATATATATATTGTATGAAATTAAATTGATCGTCATTATAGTTAAGAAAAACTTTTATTACACACTGATCAACATGAAATGGAAATAAACTCTAAAAATCAGATAATTGTTATTTGTTGTCATTACCGTATTTGTGAGAAGTAGTACACCTTTAAATATGGCTGCTCTCATATTTTGTCATGACCTTCCTGTAAATGTTACCATAACTCCTCAAGTCTTACCTGTTAATTTGGTTGCTATGATAACTCCTCAAGTCTTACCTGTTAATTTGGTTGCTATGATAACTCCTCAAGTCCTACCTGGTAATTTGGTTGTTATGATAACTCCTCAAGTCTTACCTGGTAATTTGGTTGTTATGATAACTCCTCGAGTCTTACCTGGTAATATGGTTGTTATGATAACTCCTCACGTCATAACTGTTAATATGGTTGTAACTATAAGTTAATAACTCCTCAAGTCCTAAATGGTAATATGGTTGTTACCATAACTCCTCAAGTCCTACCTGTTTTTGGCTGTTCCATAACTACTCAAGTCCAAGTAATTGTCACAAATGTGCAATATGGAACCATTTTATCAATGTGTCTACGACATTTCGTCAGTATTGAACGTCTGCGACAAAATGTAGTTTATGATATGTCGTAAAACGTTGATAAAACGTCCTCCTGAAGAAAATGAAAAATGTGCCTGCTAATGGATTAGTAATCCAGCTGGTTCTCATCCTTAAATCAACTGCTGAAATAAGACCAACAGCAGTTTTAAGACTATTCTCAGTGCTTGACAATAAGAAAAGGGGCATTACTCTGTAAGAAGGAGACTTACGAGTTATGGGACTTGTGCCCATCATGTTCAATAAACATAGAACAAGTGTGTGAAGTTTCAACCCATTCCCTTCAGTAGTTTTGGTGAAACTAACTTGCACGCAAATACTCGACCATAGTGTGATGTCAACGGCAACACCAGGTGAATACAAGAGCTCTCCCTATTCAAAAATAAAGTTGAGCTAAAAAAGTCTTAAAACCTGCAATACATAAATAAGTACATGTAGCTTTAAAATCCTTTAATTTAGAAATACATGATGATGTACAATTACAATGCTTAAATGAAATGGGATCATAAAATTTAACATTCATATCAACAAAATTATCAAAACATGACAAATTATCATTTATAAACAAAGATAATATGGAGAGAAAAACAGCCATAGAAAAGACAAGGGTCTACACTCTAGTGGAAAAAACCCTGTGATAATTCATAAAATGTACATGATAATATAATGCGTAATGTAACACGAAAAATAGCACAATGTTTACACATTTATTCAAAATGACCTCGACCTTTTGACCTTTTTTTCTTCACATTTATACAGTTTATAGTCTGTTTCAAAAAATGATTTCAGCACAAGCTCAAAACTACCTTGACCCTTTCCCATTCACACGTTTTAAAGCCTGTTTAAAAAAAAATGATTTTTTTTCCGACAACTTTATAATTGTTCAACCTTTTGGTCAACAAAACTTAATAACAATCATTTAAGCCTTAATCAGCTGAATTTGTGTAATGAATTGCCCTACTTTGAATTTTAAACTGTCCATTAAGGGATTTCAATATCAAAATACACAAAAATTGTGCTATCAACAATATAGAACCTGGTCAGACTGCATGGATGTGCACGCTGGTCTGGCTCTGTACTGGTAACAAAGGCTAATCACTCTCAGTTCCAGCAGGTGAAGGTTTAAAACTCATTTAAAAAATCTATAGTAACATCACATAGATAATATATTCTTATTTCATCTAAAAAATTCATACACCCATGTTGCCTGATTACTCAACTGAACACAGATTTTCTAAAGACATACAACAGTAACAAAATATACGTACAAAAGCATTTCTTTATAAAGCTGCAATTTGTTGTCAAAATTTCAAATTATTTCTGAAATTCATATCGTTTTTCAGCCATAAGCAGTAACTGTTATAAACCAACAAAAAAATATATACTTTCTAAAAATGCCCATAGGACTTTAAACAACATAAATTCTTTTTTTTCTCATACTTTACAATAACTATATTGATTTAAAGGTACTCCACAAAGGTAAGGCCTTAAACATAAAATTTGAATTTCTTACATAGATCAGCTGGGGCACTTAAAACAAAAAGATAAGCAAAAGTGTTATAAATATGCTCAGATAAAAATTGAAAATCATACGTTTGTGCTATTCTAAGCCCAATTTAAGTGAAAAGTGTTCAATTTATTCTCATTTTTACAATTAGAATAATTATTCTGGAAAAAGGGAGTGATCAAATGATCTGAAATTTTGAATGCAAGTTGTTGGTCTACATCTATATCAAATGAACCATTAATCTCGGAAAACTATTTCCAGTCCTGTCATGTCAGAAAACCTCAGTGGAGTTCCTTTAATCATAATAATAAGCTAACTACATCATCACAGAAATGTTATAAGTATATGAAATAAGTTCCTTGATTCAAAACTTAAACATTGACAAAAAAAGCTGCACTGTGGAGAAAGCATTTATTCTGCTTCCACGAGCTCAAGGGTACCAGTATCTTATGAGGAAACATGGGCAGGACCCAAAGGTCAGGGTTTAAACTCATTATCCCTGGTTGAGACGCAGACACCTTGGCCACTGCTCTTATTACATTTGTTACTGTGCAAGCTTCTGTATATTAAATTAAAAGACTAGCAGTTTGTTTTGTTTTTTTTAATTTTAAGTGCCAGTTTATAATAACATTATTTCAGAAGTGTATTGATGGGGCAAAGTTTTTGATGATGATAAATCCCTGAAAATGAAAATAGGCAGTTTTCAAATACACACCAAGACAAATTTTATCATGAAAAACTCTGGGAAAAATTTATATTAATAGAAATTGTTACATTCTTTAAGTAATCATACACATTTTACAACATTGAGCACTAAAAGGAGGGACTTTTCCCTTGTTTTCTAACAATACTGTGTATTACCCTACACCTTCAAAGAATAAAAACAATAGATTCGTTCACGACTACAAAGCAATTAAAGGAGATCAATTTACTAAAACAACCTTGGATTGGTCAATTTCAAATTTGTATTGTATAATAAACCAATCAGATTCTTAGGTTGGACCAACATAAGGATTGGTCAATTTCAAATTTGTCTTCAATATCAACCAATCAGATCATTAGGTTTAAACCCAACATTGGTTAAGTCTTTAACCAAAACCTAATTTTGATACCCATTTAATTATAGAAATTGAGATCACTCTTAACATTTAATCTTAAACTGAATCCAGTAGTTCCATTTCAATTCTGATCTTGTGATAACTTTGAATATTACTTTCAATGAGTATAGTTTTAAGTTATAACAAACATTTTAATATCACATTCTAAATTTCATGAAATTCATTATACAATTATTCTGTATCAGATTTTAACCCTTACCACCCTAAATATCTTAAGTGGATTTGTCCATCTGTTTCATCTGGACACAACCATTTACAATTTTTAGGGATCATTTCAAAATAAGTACTGACTGAATAGCAAACAGTGCAGACCATGATCAGACGGCATCAGATGTGCTGGCTGATCTTGGTCTGCACTGGACACTTTGGAATATTCATTTGTTACCAGCTGGCTGTACTCTTAAAACTTATTATTCATATACATGTTGTATTCTATATAAATGTGGAGAAAATTACTTAAACACTTTCAACTATTACATTCATTGAATTCATATAAAAAAAATTCTACATGCCTAATAAAACAACCAAACAAATTACATCTAAATCTACTTTTCCCCCTTGTTTGTGCTACATTATTTGTGCTATACAATGACTTGATTTTTATATTAGCTTTGACAATGACATATAGCTGCCTCAATTTGACCTATAGAATATTTTATATTAACCTAGAACCTGCTGAATGTCTTAAATGGACTTGTCCCTGGATCCATTTCTGGGACCGTCCATTAGAAACACCCATTTCTTGGACCATCCATAGAAACACCCGTTTCTGGGACCATCCATAGAAACAGACATTTCTGGGACCATCCATTAGAAGCACCCATTTCTGGGACCATCCATTAGAAGGATCAATTTATGGGACCATCCATTCGCAAATTTTAGGTGTAATTTTAGATGAAAATTTAAAGTTTGGTCGGCCAACAGTAGAGAGCCTGGTCAGTCTTTGCAGATATACACAATGGCTGGCCTGGCACTATACTGGTGGCAAAGGGTAATAATCACTTGCAATTCCAGCAGGTTAACGGTTAATGAAGCATTCACTTATTAGTAAGCTTTAAAGTTGCAAAGCTCCATAACAAACAACTGGCAACAAGTAAGGTTTAAAGGTACTTGGCTCCATAATAACAACTGGCAATACGTGTTTAATTGTCATTGCAAACATACTTTTTTTCTGTTAAATTTTAAACTAGTGTAATAACATTTGATGTAACATCATTTGCATTATATACAAACATAGCCTTAAAGCTTCAATACTCAATTTATTCAACTTGCATAATAACACAATATTATTTTATTCAACTTGTGCAACAAAGTCAGTATTAAACCTACACTTATTCAATATCCTCTATTTATTTCATACCCCTTGAAAACTAACATGTCAGCTACAAAATCAAATTCAAATGTCTAAGAAACTAAACCAGCAAGACATCATTTCACTCGGAACTAGAAAATATACTGGCCTTAAAAGTCAGTCGTCCTTGAAATATGCCACCAATCTCTTACAAAAATTTTTAATCAAGTATAAAAGTGCCATTTTTCATTAATTTTTTATGGAGCAGTAATTTACAGATTTTATCTTACAAAGAATCATATTGCCAATTGCCATTATGGGTCCATAACTTTAAATAACCAAACCCTAATGCTCTTTTTAAAACCATCTTTAATACCTTACTAAAAACATATAAATACAATAACTCTATATAACATACATTAAATATTTATATATATATAAACAAACAGCTTTTTTATATTTCTATGACCGGGTAAAAAATATTCTC